ATCATTGGTTCCAAGGACCAAAGTACATTTTGCCTTATATTTGGCTTTGTATTTATCTCTTTTCAGCATATGTTACAATTCCCACTTTGTTATATATTTTTAATTTCCTATTTTTTATGTTCTTCCTCTCCTTATTTCTTCCTGCTTGTCTTTTCATCTCTCTTGCTTTCTTCCATCCTGACATTTTAGTCTCATATATTTGTACTGGCAATCCGTGGCCCAAAATATACGCAACAATGTATTCATAAGTTTCTCAGTCTCTTAATAAAGTCTCAGTCAGATAAGCAACAAGAACAACAGAACAGAATTGAAATAAAAATGCTGATCTTATTCGTGTTGTTTGTACACTGTTCAAGGGAGTTCGTTTAATAACACTCATCATCAATTTCTCATTTTTACTGGATCTTTCTTTGAGAATGCAAGAACATTTTCAGTAGCAAAACTTCAGTCCTTGTAGTTGCTGCCTTAGCTGCTCATGGCACCTCTATGGTGCACAGCACATACTTTCCATGGTGTCTTATTTCCTTCTGCCTCACGGATGGCTCATTTGCAGGCCCTTTGGTTGCTTTTTCTTCTCTGTGTCCTTTTAACGTTGAGATTTCCATGATCTGTTTCTTGTTTGTTGTTTGTTTACTGAACTCATTTTCTTGGTGATCTCACCCTTTTGGCTTAATGATGAACTATATGATAATAATTCCAGATTTGTATTGTTGTAATGTAAATCCATCTGGCAACACCCAGAGAAGCCACATTTTGAGAGGTCGACTTGGGAGTCTTTATTAGAAAGCTGGCGTCTGCAGGTGGACTCCTGTCACCAAGGCCTGCAGCCCTTTGAATACACTTAACAGTGTCAGAAAACTGAGCCATGAGCGCAGGAGAGGAAAGAAAGAGCAGAAAAACCATGTCAACAACTCCGATCAACCCAATGGAGAGCTGAAGTGGGACACCATGTTCTCCACAGAGACACAAAACAGGAAGCTGAACTGACCCTCAAATAGGGTCAAGTCAGGGGGCAGGGTCACAGAAAACTCGAGAGTTTCTCAAGTACAAAGCACAGGACTGACAGGTCCAGTAAGCTATCACCCAAAACCCTGCTTCTAGGAATTCAGGCATGCCTATCATCTGGGAGGTGGGACTTCCCCTTCCTCTACCATGAAGACAAAATGGAACCCATTAAATGCAATTCCCTATTTACCACATGGCCAAGATGGTGCCAGTTAGATCCCACATCTCTGCTTCATTATTTCCATCTGAAACCTTTCTATGAACTTGAGGTACAAATATCCAATTGACTAATAGGCACAAATGCACATACTTAATCTCAGAACTCATTGTTCTGAAGTCATGCGTTCATTAACTCACCAGACTCTTCTTAAGAGTCAGGGTATTTTATTTAATAGCAGCTACATACTCCTACCCCAGGCATTTGTTCTGTACAATTTTGTTGGCACACATCAGTGTTAATTGAATAAATAAGGCTTCAGTTTCTGAACTATTAATCTGGTGTCAAACACATTGCTTTCAAGAGCTAAATGTAGGTCAGAGGACCAAGTGTGTCATTCAGCCACTTGATGACTGAGATTCTGAAGAAGCATAAAGGACTTTCAGCACTAGGGATTAAACACGAAAGTCCAGAACAACATCTGCTCTTCTGAACAACTCCCATGCCTCTGAAATGTGACATTTTGGTGTTGTTTCCTTTTATGGTTCTTAATTACTGGCTCTGTTTGCATGAAATAAGGAGTTGGGTTGCCTAGGAGTTCATCTGCTCCAATTGTATCTTCTTCTCTTAAGTATGCAAGCTTCAATGCAGTTTTGCTTGTTGCCTCCAACTTTTTGACAGATCTCCATTTTCTGTCCTTTTACTGTCCTTTGACCATTTCTTTGAGAGAAGGCTTATTTTTAAAGTACGACATAATAGTCTTTGGGAAGCAGCCAGAGCATGGGGGGAGGGCCATACAATTGGGACTTAGCTACCAGGATTGCTAAGAGGAGTGGCAACAGGCCATTGGAAAGATTATCTTGGAAAGGAAAGACAGTGCCTGCTCCCATTGAGGTGTTCTGAATTTATTCTTTGCATAAACAGGCTTTTGTCTGAGAGGTTTTTAGCATGATTCTTTAACATTGCTTGGAGTTAGAGGTAATACAGACTAGCGTGGACAGTGATTTTCAGGGAAAATACTGCTTCATTAAAATCCATCAAGGATTGTGGTAGAGTGAAGTCTGTAGGTCACAGAGCTGCTAGTTAGTTTTTGATGCCAGTTTTGCCTTAAGTTGAGGGTTTGGATAAAAAACAAAACAGTTATTATCCACACGACTGTCAAAAATGCTTGTTCCTTGGGCAAAATAATGCTGTGTAGTCAAGATGTTACCTAATAAGAACCTGGGGATGGCCATGCAGGAGCAGGGTTTCTATAGGAAAACCAATGTAAGAGGAAGAAATAGGCCATTTCTTTATTTCCCAAGATGGATGCTCTACCACTTTCAGTTGTTTGCTGGTTAATTGGAGATAAGAGTCTCATGGATATGTCTACTCAGGCTGGTTTTGAACCAGATTTCAGCTTTCTGAGTAGCTAGGATTAATGGGATAAGCCAGTGTTTTCATGTTCTTCATTGTACCACTTGGAAATCATAGTTCTTGTTCAGTTTTCTACTTGACCTCAAAGTTCTCTTATAGGACTTCTTTAATGGTCATTTATAACTGTCCATTGTATACCAGAGAAAGTGACACAAGACTTCCAGCCTTGCTCATTTGCTCATCTTGTTATTAGGGAAATCTGAAGACAAAGCATGTGGGTTAAGTAGGAGATTGCTTGTGTAGCAAGCATGAGGTCCTGAGTTCAATTCATCATACCATGTCCAATGGAGGGAGAAGGATGGGAGGAAGGAGATAGGAAAGAGGAGAGAGAACTAAGTTCTATTTTGGTTTAGGACTTTTTTTGGCATCTTTTTATTTACTATACAAAACCTTCCCAAAGATTTTCTTATGTTCTTTTTTTTTTTTCCATTTTGTGGCTTTTCCTCTTCTATTTAATTGTCTATTCAACATGCTCTCTTGAATTGATTATTTCTGATTAGCACAATATATTGTGAAATTAAAATTGCATTCTATAACTGTGTGGCCTAATAGGCAGTAGGTCAGTCTTTGTTATTTGTTCTCAACCCTTTTATATTATTCATACTGATAAGGCTTTGCTGTAAGACTAATCTCACGTCATTAATATGCCTTCCTAGGGAATTCTTCTTTGACTCCAGAAGCTTCATTAATTGCAAATAAGAGACCATGACCTAACGTGGAATGTGGAATATCTACTCAGAAGTGTCTGCCTTCATTACTGCAGGCTCTCAGTAGTGACATAAAATCTTTGTCCAGTGCAGATCTAGTTACAACCAGGAACAGAAGGAGCACGTCCACCCTGAACAAAAGGATATTTATTCTCACATTCCAAGGCTGAGGTTCAGTGATAACATTTTTGCATATCCTAAAACATTTTATGCAGATAGTATTTAAAGGCAAAGAGGGCATTTATAATCATTTGCTTTGTGAATGGCATTTACACCGTTGGCGCATGCTAACTTTTCAATATGCCTGTCAGGCACTGAATAAGAAACTTTGGAGCGCAACAGCAAAAACAAAACCAGAGATTGTTTCATTTACTCGGAGCCCTTTGCTTTTTTGGATTTATATCATTCTACCTTAAGTCAAAAACATAAATTGATGTATATAATATGTACATAATAAGTCACTAGACATTGAGTTTTATGCAGTGGTGTAGTCTTCATTTCTATTAAAGCAAGTTGTAGAGTTCCATCTCTGGTCACTGAACCCATAATCAGGGGACATTAGGTTGGATTAGAAAAAGCTTTGCCAATTAATGTTTAGTTTATATTACCATACTATTAAAACTTTTATATAATCTTTTGTATATTCTTTTATAAAAGTAAGGAAAAACAAAAACAAAAACAAAATACCCAAATGCTATATGAATATGGGGTGGGAAATAAAACAAGTGTTTTATCGAGTGCTGGGTATAGTGGTACATGGGCATGTGTAGGCAGCATGATCATAGTCTGGATAAAAGCGCAAGAACTTACCAGAAAAATAACTGAAGTTAAAAAGGGCTAGGCTGGGCTGGGAAGGTGGCTCAACGGTAGAGTGCTTGCCTTGCATGCATGAGGCCCTGGGTTCAATTCCTCAGCACCACATAAGCAGAAAAGGCCAGAAGTGGCACTGTGGCTCCAGTGGTAGAGAGCTAGCCTTGAGCTAAAGAACAGAGGTACAGCACCCAGGCTGAGTTCAGGCCCCACAACTGACAACAAAGGGGCTTGCATGTGGCTCAAGTGCTAGAACATGCCTAGGAATCACAGTCTTGAGTTCAAACCTCACTGCAGCCAAACAAATTTCAAAACTGTGTTATATGGAATTATGAATGTACCTATTCTTTTGTTATCAAGGCAAATCAGCTATTGGGACATATATGTTGTATTAGCATAATACCTATAAAATCATTAAAATACAGAAAGATGAGACCTTTAAGTACTTTTTCTAAAGACTTACCCATGCTACTTCAAGCTACTTTGAATGTATTTTCTATATCGTAAGTAGTTTGGTTATTACAACATAATTGGTTTGGGCATGTGGATATAGCTTTACTAATAATTCAGTTTCTCATAAAACGAAATGACCCAAGAAACCTCAATGTAGCTATTGTAATGCAGATTTTATTTTCATTGAAGTTACTTTGAATTAAGCTGATAGGCTTACAGTTGATAGATTTTGTAAATCTCCGTAGGCTATAAAGTAGAGCAGTCTTTACTTAGCATTGTGCAAGAGGCTGTGGCCCTACATGTTCAACAAATAATGTTCACTTTGACACATTTATTGAGAAATGTTTTTATTAACTGCACAAGATCGTTATAGAAATAATAAAAGTAGAAGTCAGTTATTAACAATTATACAGGCATTTAAGTAATTGCTGTACTTATACTTTCTTCAACAGTGAAAATCCAAGTGGAGGAAAAAGAAGAGGATACTGAGGAAAGCACAAGTAAGCAGAATATACCTTAGGAAACCAGCTCCTGTTCAGTGTAGCAGTCCGGGGATTCCTCCTGTCATTTTGTGGGCTTGTGTTTCAAACAAACAGAACAAAGAAAATCCTCATTTGCAGTTCTCTCTCCCTCCCTCTCTCTCTCTCTCTCTCTCTCTCTCTCTCTCTCTTGCACACACACATACAACTTATAAATTATTAGTGATCTAGGTGTAGTTCAAAACATTTTGCTTTCTTATGGCTCTTCTTTTACCTTAAAAGTCTTCAAATATAATAGTTTTCCTCTAAGATGGGTCATATAATAGAATACATTGGCTGTTTTGACACAGTTGACTAGCTTGGTGCTTCCATTCAAATAAAATAATGTGTGTGTGTGTGTGTGTGTGTGCACATGTGCATGCACACTAATGCACTATTATGTAAGCTTAAACTCAGGGCCATGCTGAGATTTCTTGTGCATGGCTAACGCTCTACCACTTGATTCATGCTTAGAATCCACCATTTTTTTTTTGCTGGAGATAGCAGGCTTTTGTTTTGTTTTTTGATTCCTACTTGGTCTGACTTTGAGTCTTCATCCTAAATACTCAGCCTCCAGAGTAGCTCAGAATGAAGGCAGGAGGCACTGACCTGGAAGAGCACAACTTTTATACCCAGCTCATGGCTGTTTTATTTGACTGTCTTGTTTTTACTTTGTACAGACTTAGCTCAAACACATGATGTGACCTTACATGAGCAAAAGCTTTGATTTTACTGAAAATGAAATTAAAGAAGAGTGTAGCTAGGGGACAATCAGGACACACTGTGACAGCCAGTGAGTCCTCACAAGCCCTTTGTTTTATCACTCAAGTGTCTTCTAGGTGAAAATGGCTCAGCATCTCACATAGGTCCTGGTGCCGTGACTTGAGCCAGACATCAGCATTGGGAGTCTAGCGGGCAGCCAATTCTCTCCTTAGAATCTGAACATTGGCAACTGATTTTTGTTTCTAAAATGGCAATAGGTAATTTTAAGAATTCATACTTAATGTAGGATAAAACTGGGCAAATTTAATAGATTAAAAACTAAATTCAAGGAAATTGGATTGTTTCCACTCATACATCTGTTGTCACCCCACTAAACTTTTTTGAAAGTTGTTGGATAGGGTGGTTTATGTTGGTCCTCTCAACTACTTGGAAGATGAAGGTAGAAGGATCAGTATCTTCCAGAAGCATGCGATTCTACCTAAAAATTATCCAAGGCATGAAGTTATGACTTAAGTCATAACTAAGAGTGCTTAGTAAAGACCCTGAGTCCTAACTCCAGTACTATAAAATAAATAAATAATTCTTAATAATACATATACAAATAAATAAATAAAATAAATATAAATAAATCTTGTTTTTTGGGGGGGTCCAGTCATGGGGCCTGAACTCTGGGCCTGGGCGCTGTCCCTCAGCTCTTCAGCTCAAGGCTAGCATTCTACCACTTGAGCCACAGCGCCACATCCGGCTTTTTTCTTTTTGCTTATGTGGTACTGAGGAATTGAACCCAGGGCCTCAGGCATGCAAGGCAAGCACTCTGCCACTGAGCCACCTTCCCAGCCTCTAAATAAATAATTCTTAAAAGATATTTTAAAAATTTAATTCTCTTATGGTTGAAATAATAAAACTTGTATGATGCGTAGACTCTTGAATGTATTGGCGCTTGTTTATGGATCAGAATATAAACCAGGTACCACTAGCTCCTGCCTATAATCCTAGCAACTGAGCTGGCTGCTGTCTGAGGTTGTGATTTGAAGCCAGCAAGGACAGGCAAGCCTATGAAACTCTTATCTCCAATTAACTATCAACAAAACTAGAAGTGGAGCTGTGGCTTAAGTGGTGAAGTATTAGTCTTGAGCAAAATAGCACAGAGACAGTTCCCAGGCTGAGTTCAAGCCCCCAGACTGGCATAAAGAATAAAAGAATATAATATATATATATGTGTGTGTGTGTGTGTATATATATATATATATATATATATGAGTTCCTGTAGCAAATATTCAAAGTACCCCAAACTTATTTTGTGCTGTTGTTAGGTACTGTTCTTTGTATGTTAAGTCACATTGATTAATCAAGTTTTCAATATCTTTATTCATTTTCATTATTATAAGAAAGCACATTTTGAAATCTGTCATCTTAATAACTTTCAAAATGGATGATACAATATTGTTAACTAAATTATCACTGAGTATGTATTGGGAATTAGTTCTAGGACTATACTGGAGTATATACAACAATCTGTAGATGGTTTAATTTCCTATGTAAGATGGAAAGTACTTTTGTGTCACCTTACGCACATCCCTTTATGTTTTAATCTTTAATATTACTTATAATACCTAATACAATACAAATACTAGCAATAGCTGTTATACTCTACTGTTCATGGAATAATGGAATAATGACAAGAATAAAACCACCTGTACACATGGAGAAAAGGCAAATTTTTTAATGAATATTTTCAGTTTGGGGTTTGTTGAGCCAGTGGATGTGTAACAAAGGAAACTGATGATTGTGTAGGCACAATATTGTATATAGTTATCACAAGAATTTATTATTCTTGGATAATTTGCAACTTTACAACTGTTGGTCAAAACCTTTTCATTTTCCTCTTTTTCTGACCTCAATATTTGATTCTCTCCTTCTGATCTTGAGTAATTCAGGCACCTTTCCTTAGACAAGTGGAAGCATCCAATGTTTGTCTTTCTGTAACTAACTTATTCCACTTAACATCATCAAAGCTCATCCACATTGTCATAAATGCCAACATACGTGCATATGACACACTTTAACTTCACCCTTTCAATTACTTTCTTTCTCCCTTCCTGTTTTAAATCATTATTCTGTATATATGCATATATATGTGTACATGTGTATAGATATGTATATTCATACATATATACATATACATTCTGTATTTATACGTATATATTATGTATACATACATATATATGTACATATATATATGTATATATATATGTGTATATATATATATATATATATATATATATATATATAAAGAGAGAGACAGAAAAAACACTTTCTGATGTTGCTCATGGAATCATCAACATATTTAGGTGAAGAAGAGGGAGACAAACTACCTAGGAGAGAGAGCTTAAGACCAAAGAGGAAACGGAAGAGAGATGTTATCAATGAAGATGACCCAGAACCTGAACCAGAGGATGAAGAAACAAGGAAGGCGAGAGAAAAAGAAAGAAGGAGGAGATTGAGAAGAGGAGCGTAAGTGACACTTGATATATAATGGAATGTGTTACTGATTCAAAGTCATCTGACACTGAAGGAAGTCCATTCCTAGTAGATACTTGTTGATATTAAAATTGATAATTAAAACTAGTTTCAGTAGGACAGGCTTAATCTAATTCTGCCATTTTAGTCCACTTAATTTAATTATTTTTGTGTTTTTCAAAGGAATATATACAGAATGGAGTATGAGAAAGTCCTTGGTGATATATTTAAATCATAATAGGTTATTAACCTATTATAAATAACTTGATTATTTCGAAATTATCCCACTAATTATATGTACATTGTTTCTAAATTAAGTAGAAAACTCCTCATGAATAAACTTAAGTCACATTATTTTACAGAGTAGGGGTTGGAAAACGATGGTGATACATAGTTTAAGAGGAAAGAATAGTTTTTAAAGGTGTGTGTGTGTGTGTGTGCGTGCTGGTCCTGGGCCTTGAACTCAGGACCTGGGAGCTGTCCCTATGCTTTTGTGCTCAAAACTAGATCTGTACCACTTGAGCCACAGCTCTACTGTTGGCGGCTTCTTTCTTTCTTTCTTTCTTTCTTTCTTTCTTTCTTTCTTTCTTTCTTTCTTTCTTTCTTTCTTTCTTCTTTCTTCCTTTCTTCCTTCCTTCCTTCCTTTCTTTCTTTCTTTCTTTCTTTCTTTCTTTCTTTCTTTCTTTCTTTCTTTCTTTCTTTCTTTCTTTCTTTCTTTCTTTCTTCCCCCCCCTCCTCCTCCTCCTCCTTCTTTTGTAGTTAGTTGGTGAGATGAATCTTACAGACTTTCTTCTCCAGGCTGGCTTTGAGCTGCAATCCTCAGATCTCAGCCTTCTGGGTAGCTGGGATTACAAGCTGGCTGGATTTTAAACTTTTATGAATGATATGAGACTACGCTGTATCTAGCATTCAAAGGGCATTTCTTTTTAGAATAAATTCAATCCCATCTGCTTTATATTTTAGTGTAAGTCTAGTTTAAGTTTCTACATTTCTGTCCTTTTCCTATTGAATACCAAGCTATTTACTTATTTTTATGTTGTATTTTTAAAAATCTTGGTTCTTTGTAGAAATAAGGTGAAATCAATTTTTAAGTCCCATATAATGTTAGGACTGTAAGTTCTATTATTATACAGGATTATGTCCTATTCGCAAGCCTTCAGCTTGGTGACAGTAGTATTTCATTGAATAAATTTCATCAATAGACATGTGTATGCTACAGGCTATGTTCCAGAATTTGCTTTTTCTCTTCATTTATACCCAGGAAGTCCTTCTAAAAATGTAAGTAAGGTAGAATTTTCTCTGATCTTCTGGTCAATGTATGATCCTCTGTGAGATAGAACCAGGTGAATCAGATAGGTTTTGGTCCTAACATAGGGTCTATTCTTAACTGGCTTCATTGTCACTTTGATTCAGAGAATCCCATAAGACCCATGTGTGACAACTTTTCCCCCATAGATGTTGCAAATTATAATCACATGAACACATTTGGTCTAATCTAAATAATGATATTGATTGTTTATGATGATTTTGATGTTTCAGATCAATATTTTAGGGGCTACTTTCTATTGTTGATTTTGAAGATAAGAAACTATTTTCTTTAAAAAATTATTAGCAAATACACTTCAAAGTAAATTAGTAGAAAAACCAGAGCACATGGATTTGTATCAACTCATCCAGGGTCTGTTATTGTGAACATGTTCAAGCAATGCCCCAGGGAATTTCCCCTTCACTGACAATCCATTTGAAATCAACTGAAATTGAGGCTCCTTCTTTGGAGACAGTTAAAAAATACTGCCTTGTTAGACATTTTCGAGTATTTATAATAGCATTAGAGACTTTTGTCTGACCCAGTTTTAAGAGAATAAGTAATATATTCATAGTAGTGAAACATTCAGATGTTATGCCTTCTTTTCCTTAACAACTGTTTAATTGAGCTTAAGATAGAAATTTTGTTCTTGCACAGATTAATTCTAAAGTTTGGAAGATGAAAGAAAAATGTATGTATCCTACATCTTTTAAAAAATTATGAATAACCCTTCTGTGGTGTGTTCCTAGAAAAGTAGTTTCTTTGTAATGTTAGTGAGAGCAGTATTTTAATTCCTTGCATATTTAAAGACAACTTATCTGTCGATCAGTATATTCCACAGCAGAGTATAGTCCTCCTGGGAACAATCAACAATTAATAACAAAGTCTTAAAAAATATCCCAGTCTGGAGTCATTCAGTGTAGAAATAAATGTCTTTTCTATATCACCAGCATCTGGCAGGGAGTGATTATAGTTTGCTTTGATGTGAACACTAGATTTGGGATAATAACTCCACAATATCCAGGGAAGTTTTGAATATACACTTGGGGTCTTGTGCTTGCTGGGTAGATACTCTAATACTTGAACATGGTTCCAACCTTTTCTGCTTTAGTGTAATTTTCAGGTAGAGTCTTTTGCATAAGCTGGTCTCAGATCATAACCCTCCTATTTGTACCTAAGTAGCTGGGATCACAGGTGTATATCATAATATCCATAGTCTCCCAATAAGATAGAGTCTCAGAAACTTTTTCTGCATGGGCTTGGCTGGAACTGCAATCTTCCTGATCTCAGTCTCACATATAGGTAGAACAACTGTGCCTAGCTATTAGGTGAACAGCAGTTGAGTGAACTTTTCTGCACAGGCTGGCTTCAGATTGTTATTGTCCCAAGTTCAGCCTCTTGAGTAGCTAGGATTACAGATAGGAGCCACCAACAGCCAGTTCAATAATTGTTTTCAGCCACAGGAACATCTTCAGCCAGGTGCCAGTGACTCATATTTGTAATGTTAGCTACTTCAGAAGCTAAGATTGTTGTGATCGTGGTTCAAAACTATCTCAGTCAGAAGAAGAGTCTGTGAGATCCTTCTCAACAAAAAGCTGTTCCTAACGTAGGTAGCTTTCAAGACCTTATCTGAAAAACAACCAGTAAAAATTTCAGTTTTATAGGCATGTTTCAGTGATAAGTTCAGAACTCAGTACCAGCATAAATAAATAAGGGTATAATTTAGATTTAATAGAGAAATAATGTCAGTTACTTGCATTAAAACATGTTTTACCTTCTTAAGTCAAACCAACCTATATATTGTACAATGGCAAATTAAAAAGAAACAATTGACTATGAATGTAAGTGGAATTGAAAAGTATTGATTATTTTATGCCGTGGTTATAGAGCACCATAGATTTTTTACATAATAAACTAATGGTAATTAAAACATAAATAATCTAATGGCAATCAAAAATATACTAGTAACTAGTACTTAGTCCTGAGTCTATTGAATGACAAAATATACTTCTGAGTGGCACTGAATACTTTATAGTTTGTTTATTAGTCATGGTCTAATGAGGAATTAGACTTCAACAGCTAATTAAAGAAAATTTGGAAAGAAAACCATTAAAGTATTATAAATAAAGCAACTGTTGACTAGACTACTGAGTAGTCAGATAGAGAATTAAAAAAAATATGATGATAGCAGATTTAGGAAGCAGCTACAACCTGAATGAACAATGGAAAGATAGAAATGACAGGGTAGAGGCGAAACTGAGCAGCTGATTTGTGTAGAGGGTGATCAATCTGAGTCTGCTAGCATTGGGAGAACGGGCAGATTAGACTCACTGAAGGTATGGAGAGCTCCTTCAGCTCCTGGAGGGAAAAAAGTGTTTTTAAGGTTACACCAGGAAGCAAACAGGAAGTAGCAGGAAGCCAACAGGAAGCAGATTGAGTTCCTATTTATAGCTTTTATAATCTAAGTATAAAACTGGGCCAACTGACAAAGCAAATTGTGACTTACAGAATCTCAGTCTCATTACCACATATTAAGTATAATAGATGTGTTTGAAATTGAGACAATGGCTTAATATCTGTATCTATTATCAAACATTGATTTATACAATGTTCACTTACAGCCATGTACTTTGTATTAGATTGTTTTCTTTGAGTTACAGACTCTATTTTTGTAATACTAGGAACATAGTGAGAACTCAAACTCCTTTGAAGTTCTCTTCAAAGGGATTTTCTTCCACCAAATATATTTCAGGTTGAATTTTATCAATTGAAGTCTTGAGCTTAATTAACAGATTAGGTTACTTTTGAGCAATAGATTTTTAGTTTTTTCCATTTCATTTTCCCCTCTTTCTCTTGAGACAAGGCTAATTTAAAAATTTTAAGGGCAGTTCAAAGACAGCTTCACATTTAATTTATTATCCTTATTGAAAAATAAAGCCTTTAAATGAAGAGAGACTAGGTACATGAGGGAAAAAGGAAAGAGGCAAATATCTTTATTGATCTGTAACTGTTATTTTCATATATTTCCTAGTTCTGAGAGCTCAAGGCTAGGAATAGAAGAAGATAAATTTGTTTCAGGACTTCAGAATGAAAACAGTATTGTTTAACGTTATAATAATTCCAATAATCCTGAATCAATGTTCCAATGCATAGGTCTTCATATTGACTGTATATGTCTATGCTAAACAAAATGCTGAGTATCTAACATTAGCCTTTTTTAAGTTCTGGAGTCAAGCAAAGCTTCATCTTACGGTTTGTTTCGGTTTTTCATTAAAGAGAGGAAGAAGAAGAAATTGACCAGGAAGAATTGGAAAGATTGAAGGCAGAGTTAGATGAGAAGAGACAAATGATTGCTAATGTCAAATGCAAACCTTGGAAAATGGAGAAGAAAATTGAAGTTCTCAAGTATGTTGCTACTTTTCATAATGTAGAAACTTTCTTTGATACTGATCTCATAAATCGTCACAGTATTACCTATCTATCTATCTATCTATCTATCTATCTATCTATCTATCTATCTATCTATCTATCTATCTATCTATCTATCTATATTCTACCATGTATCTGCTATATATGGTAGAAAATACTATGATGTGTTATTTAGGTAAGTTACATACTATATATACATATACACACATATCATATTTTCCCTGGTAAAGATTTTTTAACCTCTGTGGTTACTTTCAAC